AACTCTGTGAGTCACCACTATTGGTGGCCCAAGCTGTACAAATGGACGAGCACCTATGCGCGCAAATGTGAGACGTGTCAACGGGTGAAACTCTCTCCAAATGCGGCTTCGCCGCTGGCCAACTTACCGGTACCCACCGAGTGCTGGCAGTCCAGGAGTTTGGACTTTGTGTTTGGCCTGCCGAAAGATTCGGCGGGCAAAATGGGTGTCGTGGTATTCGTCGGTCGGTTGAGCAAGACGGCTCATTGATGGCGGTGCCAGACACCATCGACGGGGTCGGTATAGCAACGCTGCTCTTGGATCGTGTTTTCCGACATCACGGACCCCAAGAGTCGATTGTCTCTGAAAGAGACCCAACTTACACTTGGGGTTAATTCCTTGAAAAAGGACAGCAACTATTTTCAAGGTGCTAGACACCAAGTTGGAGATGTCGACAGCGGATCATCCGCAGACCGATGGTCAAACCGAAAGGGTGAATCGCGTCATCAGAGACGTTCTTTGCAGCGTCAGTGCTGAGACGCAGAGGCGCTGGAGCGCCATGTTGCAACTTGTAGAGTTTGTGCTGAACATTGCAGTGCATTCGTCTACTGGCTACACGCCGTTCTACGTAAACGGGCTGGTTCTCCCTCGCGTCCTACTGACGCCGCCATCCCATGGCTCAGGGCTTGGTGGGGGTGGAATTGCCGAACGGCTAGCTGATGTCAGCCCCCTTATCATCTGCAAAGAAGTCGATGACTTCTTGTCTAACAGACTGAGCGTCCTACGACACGTTCGCGATGTGATGGCTGAAAGCCAAAACGTGCAGAAAGAATATGCAGATGAAAAAGGAAGTGGCAAAGTGGAAAGCTTTAAGGCCGGGGGCCTGGTTTTATTAAATTCCAAAAACCTTCATACACGTGCAGCCTCTGCTATCTTCAGGACGAAGCTTCGTTCACGTTTTATTGGACCGTTTAAGATTGTGGCCAAGCGGGGCCTAGCGCTATACGCTGAACCTTCCAAAACGGATTCGCACCCACCCATTGCTTTACGTGGGCTTGCTCAAACCGTACCGGGATCCGGAGCAAGTGAACGCGGAAGCGTTGACGCCAGAGCGGATCCCAG